ACTGAAAAAAGAAATGAAGTAACATACCCATAGTCACATGGGTAGGAAGTAAGAAGGTATTCCAATTAGGAGTGCAAACTCAAATATATCTACTTCTTAGGATTTTGCTCTTTTCCATGACACTATCTTAGAGTTTATTATATATATATAATTTAAAAAAAAAATTTTTTTTTGAGTCAGAGTCTCACTATGTTGCCCTCAGCAGAGTACCCTGGTATCACAGCTCACAGCAACCTCAAACTCTTGGGCTTAACGTGATTCTCTTGCCTCAGCCTCCCAAGTAGCTGGGGCTATGAGTTTTATTGTATCTTAAATTAAAATTATCTAATTTCTTAGTACAATTTTTTAAATCTAAGATTTCTTTCAGATATTTTATATCCTTTTATTTTCAATGATATTTGCTTATTTACAGAGGAAATAAGCATTCATTTAAAATGATAACTATATAGAAAACCATAAAATAGGAAATTAGAATCTCTTTTCAGAGCTAAGGAATAAGCCATTTATTACCTTTTCAGACATTTTCCTATACATACATAGACATATTACTTGACACAAATGAGATCATGCTATAAATGCTAATTATAAATTATCTTTTTAACCTAAGAAGACATATTTATATCTCAACTTTAGCTCTCTCACAATTTTTTCAAAATTATTACACAGAATTCCATTATACGGGTATAACATAATTAGTTTAAACAATGTACTTACCAATTAATGTTTAGATTATTGTTTTACCTAATGGTTGCCTGGTTATTATTATTTGGTCATTCAGCAAGTTGATCCTTCATGGAACTGGCTTTTGAGAAATTGACTTCCAATGAACTTACATAAAGAGCTATGTTGTACATCATAGCTAATTCCCAAAGTACTTTTTCTTGTCAAAGTACATTCCATCTAACTTTGCAAGTAGCATTCCTAGCAATCTCTCTAACCTGAGGTCACACAGAGCTAGCTGGTGATGAGTATATCTAAAATTTGCTACTCTTAACTGCTAGGTAAGCCACTTTACCTCTTTGTATTATCTCATTGGCTCAATTGGGTAGAAAATCTGCTCTATCAACCAAATAGATTATTGTGAAGATAAAACATACTTTGAAAAGTTAAAACTGAAAAAGGTTATATAAATAAATAAGTAGTGGTATTTTTAAAAAATTCTCTTAGCAAATGAAAAGGATAATAAAAAATTACCTAAGTTTAGAAATTTATTTAAAATAACCAATAAATTTAATGTTTATTTTAATCATCCTTAATGTGTAAAGTATTTAAGGTAAACCATAGATAGTATGTTAAGGGATTTATACTGTAATATCCTATCAGTTAAATTTTTATTTCAATCACCTTCAATGAGCTAAACATTTTGGCTATGCTATATAAACATATATATGTTTTTGTTTATTTTTTTTTTCCAGAGAAGAGAAGCTCTTTTTTTTTTTTTTTTT